ACTCCGCGAGAATTCACCATGGCCCTGGGCCACACTGAGACTCCGCGAGAATTCACCATGGCCCTGGGCCACACTGAGACTCCGCGAGAATTCACAATGGCCAGTGGTGGGTCTCTGGGAGGCTGGGGGATGGTGCCGTGCTGGAGGGGAACAGACAGAGAAGAGCAGGATGACCAGGCCTCTCGTTCATCTCTCCTCCTCCCTGCCACCATCTGTTGGTCCTGCATCGCCATATCCACTCATCTCTGCCTCTGTGCAGCATTCTGTCTCACTGGGCTTCCCTGTCCTGGGCCTCTCTCTGCATCTTTCTGTCTGTCCCATAGCCCCTTTTATTTCCTTCACAGCTTTCAAGATGCTCCTGTATCTCACAGTTCAGTTCCTGCCTCCTGCCTGTGGAGCGGTCAGAAGCTAGACGTGTCCTCTGCTGGTCTCGGAGCTCACAGTGTCCTGCACACTGGCTGTCCCTTTCCCCTTCCCAGCGAACCTGGCAGGCTGGCATCCCCAGTGCTGAGGAAGCCCAGGGGGCCCACGCGGTAGTTGAAGGTGACCACAATGACGTTGCCACGAGTGGCGATTTCCTCCCCGTCGTACAAGTAGTTACTGAGGAAGTTAGCTCCATGGCCGGACCCCATGAGGAAGGCACCCCCGTAAATCCAGATCATCACAGGCAGATTGCGGGAGACTGCGAGGGAAAGCAAGTGGGTGACCTTAGGTGCCTACCTGCCCTCTGTCCAGCCCCAGCACTGGGCACAGCCGTGGGGGCTCCCCTCCCCTCCCCAGGGCACACCACCCAGAGCAAGGCCCCGAGCTCTGATCAGGGGCTTCTTCCAGGAGCGGGAAGCCAGACCTTGCTTCTTGCCCTGGGGGACCCAGATGTTGAGGTAGAGGCAGTCTTCGTCCCCGTAGGTGTTGTCCTGGGTGATGGTGGCCTGCAGGCACCGCTTCCTGAAGTCTTTGGCCTTCAGGGTTCCTGTGGCGGCAGGAAGGGCCGGTGTGAGGAGGGCAGCCCCCCGCCACCCCATCCAGGGCGGGCTCTGCACCCAGCACCCTACCTTGCCAGCCAGGGTGGCGCTGGGGGTTCTCCAGGGTCTCGGCGGTGGCATAGGGGATGCCCTTGAAGATGTCCACAGAGTCCCCACCCAAGAGGCTGAGCTTCTTGTTGACGCCTTCCACAAAACCGCCTTCCGTGTACACGGCACCCAGCTGGGACGAGAGTGGCAGCAGGGTTGGGTGGGGCCAGCCCTGGCCGGCTCGGTCCAGAGTGGCCAGCCAGCACAGCGGGCCCCAGGGGTCCCACAGGCCCCACAGAAACAGCTTCATAGGCCCGTGACACTTGTCCTGTGTTTGGGGCTGGCTTGCTGCCCCCGTCCCCCCCCCCCAGGTGTCACATTCCTGTATCAACAGGAAGCCAGTTCAGCCTCTTTTCACTCAGCAGGATGAAAACTAGGTTCCAGCTATGGACCCTGAGATGAGACCTGGAGCCTGAGTTTCCCCATCTGTAAGACGGACCATGACTGTTCTTACAGCCTGGTGGCTATTGGCTGGAGGGCCTGTCCAGCTGTGGGCAGTGGTGGTAATACTTGGCTTTCGTACCCAGCCCTGAACCTCCCATGGGGGCCCTTCTTTCTCCCACCTTCCCACAGTACCTAACCTGACAGGCTCACACCTATAATTCTAACTGCTATAACTGCTTAGGAGGTTGAGATCTGAGGATCTCAGTTCGAAGCCAGTCTGGGCAGGAAAATTAGTGAGGCTCTTCTGTCTGATTAACCAGCATAGACCACCAACCTTGAGCAAAGAGTCAAGCTAGAGTACAAGGCTGGCTGGGTGCTGGTGTCTCCTTGCATGTAATCTTAGCTACTGAGGAAGCTGAGATCTGAGGATCGCGGTTCAAAACCAGCCTGGGCAGGAAAAATCCATGAGACTCTTATCTCCAATAAACCCACTCAGAAAACCAGAAGTGGCGCTGTGGCTCAAGTGATAGAGTGCTCGCTTTGAGCTGAAGACCTGAGGGACAGCGCCCAGGCTCCGAGTTCAAGCCCCACAACCAACAATAACAACAAAAAAAGTACAAGGCTCTGTCAAGCCCCAGAACTGGTGCACGCACGTGCGCATGCACACGCACGCACGCACACACACACACACACACACACCTCCCTGGTGAGTCCCCCACTTCACCTGGCCCATCAGCTGTCCCTGAACGTCTAGTCTTGGCACTGAACTGTCCCATAGGGGCCAATTTAGCTGTCTTTAATGAGGAGCCTGCAGACAGGTGCTCATCCACCCACTGAGGCTCACAGGCTTTCCTGCTTCAAGTCACCCCACTGGGAAGCAGTGTCCAATCTCTTGACTCCGTTTAGGACAGGTAAGAGCGACACCGCCCAGATAGCAGTGGAGCTGTGGCTTCCTGCCTCTCGCCCATGCCAGGCTCTAGGTGGGGGAAAGCATGTGGCTGGAGGCCTGCAGCCCTCTGAAGTCCAGGCTGATGGGGCCCTGGCCACGCTGGGAGAGTGGAGCAGGTGGGAACTGGAGAGGAAGCATCCAGAAGGAGCCCTGTTGGCTACCCCAAGCATCCCTGAGCCAGGCACCTGAGCTTCCCTGTTCCAGGCCCCTGAGAGAGGCAGAGGGCCAGGTCAGCACCAGAGGCACTGGGAGGTTGTCTCCAGCAGTGTCTGTGAGGCCGGGCACCAGTGGCTCACGCCTATAATCCTAACTACTCAGGAGGAGGAGATTTGAGGATCTTGGCTCAAAACCAGACCCGGCAGGAAAGTCTGTGAGACTCTTCCTTTTTTTTAATTCCCCCCTGGGCTCAAGGGGCAGCTCTCGGGTGGGCAGGGGTGGGGGAGGGTCTCAGGATGGGGAAAGGGCAACACAGGGGTGTGGAAACAGGTACAAAACACCACCTTGCTGTGGCTGTTGGTGTGCTCAAGCTCTCACTCAGAAGTGCAAAGGGCAGACTACAGATGCAGCCTCCTGGACAACAGTCTAGGGGAGCCCTTTGCATGGGACACTCAGGCGGGGTTCACTCTCTCTCAGGAGAAGCAGGGTATGGAGGCTGCTCAGAAGACAGACTCCTGGTTCAAATTAGACCAAGTTTGGGATTCTTGTTTGGGAACAGGAAGTAGACACCCTGCAAACTGACACTGGTTTACCCCAGACTTTACTTGCCAGTTTAGAAGATGAGGACACATTGGCCTTGGTGGGACATTGTCAGGAAGGTGGCCAGACTTGGCATGGAAACTTCAAGAGGCCCAGACACACTGAAATTTCACATCAATAGTGGACTTTTTTCCTCCCACTTGTGGAGCTTGAACTCTGGGCCTGGGCGCTGTCCCTCAGCTCTTCAGCTCAAAGCTAGCGCTCTACCACTTGAGCCACAGCGCCACTTCCAGTTCATTGGAGTTAAGAGTCTCAAGGACTTTCCTGCTCAGGCTGGCTTTGAACTGCAATCCTCAGATCTCAGCCTCCTGAGTAGCTAGGATTACAGGCATGAGCCACCAGTGCCCCACTTAGACTTTTTTTTTTAAGTATACCTGTGTTCCAAATGGGCTTATACCAAAAATGGCTCCATTTACCTGACATTCAAACTCAGCTGTGCATGCTTTATCTTTGGATAGGGCCAGAGCCTGGGGAGTGCTGGGGGTTGTGTGTTGTCTTGCTCTGGTTGACCTGCCTGTTGGTGCTCTCTCCTCTAGGCCCCACCCCCAGTTTCCAGGGGGATGGACTGGCCCTGCAGTGGCCTCCGGCAGGGTCCTTGCTTACCTTCGCGGCACTTGCCACTGCCAAGCAGCAGGTGAGGCCCAAGACGGCCAGCTCCAGGCGCCCCATGGTGAGTGTCTGCCTCTGGGTGGCCTTCTTCAGTCGGGCCTCAGCTATTTATCGGGCTGGAGTCAAGGTCTTGCTCCTGCGCATGCGCACACACAGGCACAGGTGCAGGAGGGCCCCGCATTCCCAAGGCAGGCTGCCCTCCAGGCATCCTGGTTGGTGCCCACAGTGCACCTGTGCAGGTACAGCCTACCTGGGAGCAGAGTCAGATGGCACAGATGGTGGAGAGGGCTGCCAGGGCTGGGGGCCTGGCCATGTGCCCTGCATTTTGGCTGGCATGCCTCATCTCGGTTCCCTGCATGCCCCCACCTTATCAGGAGTGCGTCTGGATCAGAGGTGACTGCGTGTCAGAGCCCTGGCACAGCCGAGCCTTGGTACTTGGGCAGCTCTCACCTGGGCACCTGAGCCTACAACCTGGGCTGGGGACAGGGACGGGCCACTCCCAGGTCTCCTGGAAGGGGAGGACAACGTGGTCCTAGACAGTAGGCAAGGGGGCCACCCAGCCTGGAAGGAAGCCCTGAGGAGTGTGATCATAGACAGGACCCTGGAGCCCCCCAGGCAGCCAGCCAGGCTGGGGAGAGAATGGAGCCCAGAAGTGGAGGTCAGCACAGGGTCATCCTTTCTAATGGCATGGTGACAGCCGCCATGAGCTCCATCTTAAGAGGTTTGAGTTGGGTTGCTGGTGAGGTCAGCTCCGTTCTCAGGGTGTCCTGCCCCCTGCACAGTCCCCTTCAGGGACTGGGACAGCAGGTGACAGGCATAGCCAGAGCCCTCCCAGACCAACAGCCTCTCTTTGGTCTAGGAGTCTGTGTCTCCAGCTCTGATCACGTCTGGCCCCTGGAGCTGTAGCCAGAGCTCTGAAAGGTCCCAGGGACCATTTCTCAGGTGCATCTATCCGTATGGCATCCAGCTGGCCCAGTGCGCAGGGATTCAGTCACAGTGGGTGGACAGAGGTTGCACAGGCAAGGGAGGATGAGGAGAGGAGGGACGAGCAGGAAATGCACAACTAACTGGGACTTTTCCCATCGATTTGAATTCTAAGAACCAGTGCTAAAGGAAGTCATCCTGAATGGTGTGTGTGTATGTCGGGGCGGGGGTGCACAGGGTTTTTGTTCAAGAATATTCTGTGAAGTGAGGAAGTACAGGGGAGAGCAGCACCATGCAACACAAGGAAGCAAGTGGCCAAATACAGAATGAGGACGCTACAGAACAAGCAGCCGTGGTCTTACTCTGCTCTCACTGCTATTACAGAATAGCTCTACAGGTTTCACTTCGTGGTTCTGGAGGCCCAAGTGCATGGTGCCACGCACCCAGCTCCCAGGTGCCTACCTCATGGTGAAGGCAAGAGAGACTCGCCTGGAACAAGAGATTTGTCTGATTCTGGTCCCCAAAAGTAAAATGGCATTTTTTTTGAGATAATCAGGGGACATGTGAATACTAATTCCCTGGGTATTTTGTGAAGGATTGGGTCAGTCAGCTTTATGTGCTAATTTGGGTGAAACATTCTATGTGGTCAGACTTATTTTGGATGTTTCTGTGCAGGTGATTTTTGGATGATGTGGATATTGAAACCAGCAGACATAGATATAGCAGCTTATCCTCCATGCGGGTGGGCCTTACCTATCAGTTGCCGGACGGCACAGAACTGATGCCCTGAGCAGGAAGGATGTGTCAGAACACTGCCGCTGGGCGGAAGCTCTCTCATGGGTCTCCAGCCTGCTCCACTAGCCAACTTCAGACTGGCGCCTCCACCCTGGGGGCTATTTGAAAAAGCTCTAGGTCTGCACACATACACACCTCATAGTATGCTTCCTTGGAGACTAGTGCTAGAGTCACAAGAGCGTTATGTAGTTCACAGCAAGAAAAAGTTCTTATCCTAGCTACTCAAGAGGCTGAGATCTGAGGATCGGGGTTCAAAGCCAGCCTAGGTAAAAAATTCCTGGGACACTCGTTATCTCCAATTAACCGCTAAAAAAGCCAGAAGTGGAGCTATGGCTCAAAGTGGTAGAGTGCTAACTAACCTTGAGCAAGAATTGCTCAGGGACAGCACCCAGGCCCTGAGTTCAAGGCCCACAACTGGGGGCAAAGAAAGAAAGAAAGAAAGAGGTCTTGTTTCAGATAAGGGAGTATGGATTTCCTTAAAACAATTCCAGCAAAATAAGCACAAATGGAGAATGAAATGAAATCCTGGGGTTAGGGATGAGGAACAAACTTTACATTCGACAAAACTCAAACTACTGAAGTCAGGTGATGGGTAAACGGAACCCATGGAATATCCAGCACTTGTGTGTGTGTGTGCGCACGCGTGCGTGCGTGTGTGTTTGTGTGTGTGGTGGGGGCAGGAGGGAAATTCTTCATAATAAACCACCTTTATTTAAAAAGAGAAGAATTGCCATTCTTTTGGAACTTGCGAAGACTTCAGGAAGCTCTTAGTCAGACCTAAGGCAGCGTGGGCTGGCTGGGCTCGGGAGAGTAGGGCCTGGGGGGGGTGCCCTGCCCCAGCACCTGCCTCAGACTTGTCCAGGGACCAGGAAGATGGGATGTCAGCAGTGGGAGACAGCCCCAGAGCAAGGCCAACAGCTCCAGCAAGAGGTCTTACCAAGAAGGGGACTGGAAAGGAGGGGAGGGGAGTGCTTCTCCCCTTGCCTCCGGTGTGAGTGTTTTCTGCAGGACAGGAGACTGTAATTGCCAGCACAGCTGGTTCCAAGCTGGGCTCCTCATTAGGCTGCCAGTCCTGCCTTGAGATGGGGCTTTCCAGGAATCTCATCAGCAAGCTGGGGCTGGCTTGAAGAATTTGGCTTTGGAAACAGTGTGACTGGAGCTGTCCTGTGGGCAGGGCAGGAAGCTTCCAGGGCGATCTTCCGGGAAGCAGGGCTGGCAGAGACCTCAGCCTCAGGCTCCTCCCAGCAAGCTGCGGGGCCATCAGTCTGTTTCCAGCAAACGCTGAAGAGACAGTTGTTGGAAATGGACTGGGCTGGCTTCCTCATCTCACCCAACTGGGGCAGGGCACAGGTACTACCAGCACAGACCTGGAGGAGTAAAGGAACAACGTGGTATAAGGAAGCCCCATGGCAAGAGGAGCCTCCCCTGGGCCCACTCTACACTGAGACCCACACTCTGTAGGAACGCTGACTTGGGGGATAGTTCCAGTTGGGGCTGGCTTTTGTCAAAGCTACCCCAAATGGATGGGATTTGGAGCTAAGGGCAGACTCCGTGACCACAGGGCTGGGCCCCATGAAGAGTGTCACTCCGGGGGCAAGAGCCTGCTGAGCCATGGCCCCTGCTGCTTGGTCCCCAGCACCAGCGCAGCCCTCCACATGTGGGCTGGGTGGGGGCGCGTGGAGCCAGGGACATCCGACCACCCCAGTAGAGGGCGACAGCACCAGGTGCCAGGGGAACCTGCTTGCCCCGGCTCCCTGGTTAGGGCTGGACACCAGGCTCACCGCTCAGCCTGGGGCCCAGGGCTTGGTCACACGTAGTCCAGAATCTCTGTCTCCATCTCATTCTCACTTCCGTCCGAGGGCTTGAAATCTTCCTCCTCTTCCTCTTCCTCTTCCTCCTCCTCCTCCTCCCCGGATTCAAACATCAGCTGCTCTTTTGCATGGTCAGCCTTGTCTGGGCTGGAGAAGAGAGCTGGGCCAGGAGGAAACAAGGTCCCATGGGTCCCAGAGCAGGCTCCTGGGCTCCTGGTGGCCAGTCTACCATGACAGGTCCTGGGCTCCGTGGCAAGTATGGCAGGGGGCGGGGAGGGCGGGGAGGGGGGGAGGGGAGGAAGGGGGAAGCTAACAGGTACCCCAGGGGATGCCAAGGCAGCCAGGTCTTCAGCTTTCTGAGAGAAGCCATGGGCAGCCTCAGGAAGCGAATGCCAGGCATGGTGGTTCACACCTCCAATCCCAGCACTTGGGAGACAGAGGCAACAGGATCTACGGTTTGAGGCCAGCCTGGGATTCATACTAGACAACATCCTAGATCCTGTCTCAAAAACCCCAAACCAAAAGGCTCTGGCCTGGCCTCTGGTCAAACCAGGGAAGGGCCTCTTACAAGGCCCCTTGCTCCCTGAGCCTCTCAGACCCTCAGCCCAGCAGTGCTCGTCCCACTTCCTGGCTGGCCAGGGCCTGGGGAATGCGGAGTGATAGGCCACAGCGCCTGCTCCCCCCCCCCGCCCCCGCCCCCTCTCCCCACTGTGGCCAGCTCCCCTAGTGGAAGCCGCAGGCTGCAGCTGCTCCCCTCTACCCTCATCCTCCCCTACCCCCAGGGCCAAGTGTGGCAAGCGCTGCCCAGGAAGCCTCTGCGAGCCCCGGTGTGTTAGGTCTGGCTCCTGGCAGGGGCGGGCATCTCTGGGCACAGGTCCGGCCCCCCCTCCCCGTGCAGCAGCGGCTCTCACCAGGCCTCTTGGAGCGGATGGTCTGGCGGATCATGAGGGACATGGTGTCCCTCAGCTCGTCGGTGGTCTTGGGGAGGCACCACCCATCCCGCTCTGTGCACGTGCTCTCCTCCCCGTCATTGCGGTGGATGATCTTCTGCAACCTGCAGGCAGGAGAGGCTGCGTGTTTCCCCTCCCACCCCCAAGGCGGGTCTCGACAAGGGGGCTGGGGGGGAGGGCCAGGCTCCCGAGTCCTGGGGTGGTCTCCGCTCATAGAGGCCATGCTGCCTGCAGCAGAGGCAGCTGTGCTGAGAAACACACGTCCCAGAGCCATCTCTGAGGTGGGCGTGGCCCCAGTCCCTGACCTGTGTGGTCTCTGGACCCCCCAGTCTTGCACACAATGCTGGGTGTGGCCCGCGAACATCTGCCTGGCAAGAGCGTGGCTTTCCCCAGATTCCACACTCTGCCCCTCACTCATGCCGGTGCCCCACCCCCGCCGTTTCAAATGTCATTGAGAACAAGCAAGTAGGCCAGGGTTCTGGGGCACGAGGCAGTGGTGGAGGGCCACAGGCTTCACAGCAAGATCATCCAGTGGTGGCAAAGCCAGTATGAAGCCGAGGGGCTGCAGGAAACTCTGTTCCTGTGCTATTTCCACACACCGCCAGCCCCATAGCCCCTCCACAGGCAGGGCCCCTCAAGTACGCACCCCTCCACGTTCAAGTCGCACAACTGGTAGAACATCTGGCGATAGGGGGGCAAGGCTCCCTCCCGGAAGACATACACCGAGTCCTGGGGAAGGGGGGCGGGACAGTGAACACAGCCCGGCCCAGCAGAGTTGCAGATGCCCACACCGCAGGCTTCCTGGTGGTCTCCATGGGGCTGGCTGGCCACCAAGACCAGGGTGGGCAGTAAGGCAGAGGCCGTGGGAGGGCACACGTGGCAGCCAGGCCCTCGGGAGCCCTGGGGGCCTTGCTGACAGTGCAGAGCGGGCTGCTGTCTGCGGGAGCTGCCTCCTTAGTCCTGGCCTGCTGCTATGAATGACCATCCTAGGCCCCTGCGTGCGGCAGGGAGGAAGGCAGAGGACCGCTCAGGGTGGGCAGCTCAGGGACAGGGACAGTCCCTGGGGTAAGACTGGCTCGAGGTGACAGTCACCCCCTCACTAGGAAGAAAGCTGGAGTCTGGGAGACCTGGGTAGGTTTCCTGGCGTGTCCAGGGCACGGATGGCGCTGAAGGACAAGTGTGTTCGGGGAGGGTTGCATCCTCACGGCTCATTCCTGCTATGCCCACAGGTCCCCGCGGGGCCTCCAGGCTGGGGGTCCGCTTGGACAGAGAACCAGCATGAGCGGTTCTCAAATGTGCTAATGAACTCCTGTTGGGTAAAGGTAGTGGGAAGGCCCCAGTCTGCGCCCACACCCGCGCAGCCCACAGCTGGGCCCCAGATGGTCTGGTCTGGCTCTGTGCTCCTGCATGTGCCCCATTCCCCCCATACATCAGCGGCCTGCAGGCGTCAGGGGGGCCCAGCTCTGGAGACTTGTCACCACCTTTCTACCCAGATGCCCTCAATTCCTCACGGCCCCACGTGGTTAGGTTCTTCCTCTTTGTAGAGGGTCCCAGGGTGGGAGTAGTGGAAAGACACTGGGTGGACAGAGCTGTCTCAAAGCCCACCCCCATGTCCACAGAGGGGCACCTCATCCCCACTCAGCCACACCCGCCCCCAGCCCCGGCTCGGGGCACCCACCTTGAGCTTATACTTGTTGGAGGTCTGTTTCCGTGGGCCAGACACCCCCGACGGGCCCAGGCCCTGCTTCAGGTCGTGCATGGTGACAAGCTGGCTGGCTGCATGGGAGCAAAGCAGAGCTGGCCCCCGCCTGCCCCCGGCCCCCCGCCTGCCCCCCGCCTGCCCCCGGCCCCCCGCCTGCTGTGCTGCCAGGGGCAGTGGTGACCCCAGGCAGTGCCTCCCATCTTGCTGCCCCGGCCCACGTCCCTGGTAGTGGCCTGCCACTTACGCGTCTTCTTGACTGTGATGGGCAGGCTGTAGTTGTAGGTGCTGCGCTTTGCCTTGACAGGCATCTCGCTGCCGCCTGTAGGCAAGGGAGAACGTGCTAGAGGCTGGCAGCCAGGAAGTTACCCTAAGGCAGGGTGGGGGATGGCTGGCTTTCGAGCCATGTAAGGTTGGTATAGACAGGGAAGTCATGTGTGCTTCTCCTATGTCCCTCATTGGCTTCCCTAGGCCTCCTGCCTGTGTTGATAATTAAACACACTCTGTGAATAACGTTATTGTCAGAAAGAAGGTTCCTTCCTCTTGCCTTAAGGCAAGACAAGGTTCCTGGTCATCTCCTGGAAGAGGACCCCAGCTGCTGCCACATTTCCCACAGGGGCTGGCAAGAGGCTCCCTGTGGCCTCACAGAGTCCTGGCTTAGCCGGTCCAGGGCCCCAGGCCCCAGACTGTGGCTCAGAAACTGGAGGTGGCTGTGCTGCTGAGACAGGCCTAGGTCTCCATTTCCTCACTACTGTGTCCCTCTTCTCACAGGGAGAGGGAGACACTCTTCCTCTCTGTATGAACAGAGAGCTAGAGATGGGATGGGAGAGAGGGAGGGAGGGAGGGAGGGAGGGAGAGAGAGAGAAAAAGAGAGAGAGAAGTGGCTTATTTTTACCATATTTCATTCCACAGCGGATTCGGAAGTCAAGGACTTGGTAAATCTTGGCCTCGGAGTGTGTCCGGGGGTCATAGCCAAACCGGATCCACAGACTTCTCCAGGGGCCTGTTATCTGGGGACAGGAGAGGTACAAGTGTTGAGACCTGGCTCGGGTTTCCTGTGTGTGCAGGGGCTGACCTCTGCACAGAGGCACAAGGCCCCTGAGAGCTAGGAACACGGCTCTCAATTCCCACGGGGGGCTTGGCCACCTGGGAAAAGCCAGCTGGCCTTTCAAACCAAAGCCTTGCTGTCCATGAGAGGGAAGTGGAGGAGGAACCTGTGCCAGGGCCCCGGGCACACGGGGACTCTTGGGATGCTGCCTGTCCCAGGAAAGCATTTCTTTTTTTTTTTTTTGGGTCCGGTTGTGAGACCTGAACTCTGGGCCTGGGCACTGTCCCTCAGCTCTTCAGCTCAAGAATAGCGCTCTATCACTTGAGCCACAGTGTCACTTCCGGCTTTTTTCTTTTTGCTTATGTGGTGCTGAGGAATCAAACCCAGGGCCTCATGTATGCAAGGCACGCGCTCTACCAAAAAAGCCCTTAGCAGACAGAAGACTGCTCTGCTTTCCAGAGTCCAACCGGGCATCACGTTCACTGTTCTGCAGACTCCCCATGCAGGGTATTAGGACCCTTTCCTCCCCTAACGGCTGCCGTCTCCACCCTCCGGCCTGAAGCGCAGGTGGACATGCCCTACGGAGGCACGAAGAACTAGGGTGTGAGGTGCTGTCACTAGAGGCCTGGGCTGTGGCCCACGCTGGGCCTCTGGTGGTTCTGCCACGTGTTGCTCACCGCAGGGAGGAAGGACGGAGGGGCCGTACTGCCCAGTGCTGCCCGAGATCACCACCTCAGGCCATTCTGCACCACACAATCCCCCTGAGTGAGGCCCTCCGTCGGCAGGAGCGGGTGCACTGCGGCTGTGGGAAGCTGGGCAGTTCCAGCTGGCTCTTCAAGCCCTCTCAGGGCTACCTGTGGTGGCCTTCAGGGAGGGAGGGCCACACAGGTGGCACCGAGGTTGGCATGCCACAGCCAGCCACTCACCATGTAATAGGCCATGAAGGGAAGCAGGATCTTGAGCTTGTCAGGGTGGACGCTGATGTTGGCCTTGACAGCATTGCGTGACCAGATGGGACGGATGTCGAACAGCTGGGCAAAGTCAAGTGCAGAGGCTGAGATGGGCAGCAGCAGCAGCAGCCTCCCCCATCCCCCATGCCTTCCCAGCATGGCCGGTGTCCCACGGAATGTTTTAGACAGGAAGTGGTGGAGGCAGGCGCTCAACAAACAGGCCCGGCCTCTGGAACGCACCGCACTTCCCTGCCCCCTGCCGTGCAGAGGTATGGATTGTGCCTTTCATGTGCCAAGTGAAAGTGGGGGAGGGTGGCGGGGGGCGCGGGAGGACCTGAGGTGACCACAAAGGTCATGGACGTGCAAAGGCTGCTGGAGCCCAGCTCCACATCTAGGTCACCGTCCAACAGCGTCCCCATTTCCCCGCTACCCCAAAGAGACCAACAAAGAACTGAAGTATTTTCAACGTTAAGAATGCCTAGGTGATACTAACATGGTGCTAGTGGCACCTGGAGGTGGGAAAGTCCCACATCCTAACAAAGCCAGCACGGCCAGCCCCAGAGCAAGCTGGGGAGGAAGCAGCTGCGTAAACACTTGGTCAAGGCAAAGCAACATGGCCCAGCCCGGCTAGACAGGATGGGAGCCTCACCTTCCTCAGTTCCTCCTCTACCTTCTGGTCTATGGGGTTGGTGCAGGCCCTCCTCCACGTCTGCACCGCGGCCTCCAGAGGCTGCACAGGGACCTCAGCATCCTCAAAGTTGACAAAGATGGCATTGTGGGGGCGCCGGGCCCTACTCAGGCCGATCAGGTTCTCCCCTGTGATGGTGGGGTTGTTGTAGCCTTCCCTGGGGGCACAGAGAGATGCTGGGAGCAGGAGTGCCGAGGACCACCTGCAGAACAGGCCGGGCCCGTGCGCAGGGAGGCCAGCCGTGTGCCTTTGTCCTGGAGATCCGGTGAGGCCATGACCTCAGGGCTGCCTGGTGAAGGACCCCAGCTCTCAGGATGCCCACTGAGGACAAAGAGGGGGCTGCCACAGCCAACAGTGGCCTAGACAAACTCTGGGCAAGGCCCAAGGTCCCAGAGACCACAGTGAGGGAAAGTGCGCCTCGAGCTAGTGGCCTTCCAACTGTAATAGCATCGAGCCAAAGCTGAACACAGCCTAAATATCCACTGGCTGGAAAGAGTGACATCAGTCTGGGCTGTGCATGCAGGGTCAAGCTATGCCTACTGACGCTGATTTTTATGACTCATTTATTTAACTGTCACAGCAATCCTTCAAGAAAGGATTGTCTGAGGAAGTAACATGGGAATCAGAAAACTTGCCCCAAGAGCATGTGACAAAGGACTCCCAGGGGACTCAAACCAAAGGAATCTGGCCACAACCAGACCTTAGTCACCTGGCCTGCACCTAGAAGAACATGGCTGTGGCTCAGAAGCAGCTTGACAACCAGGACCACTGAACCAATGGTATCATCAAAGCTCAGAGATGAATATGCAGTGTAAGAGTGATGCCACAGGAGCTGCAGGCTGGGAGGTGATGAGTCGTGGAGGTTTGCCCACTGGAGCCCAGGACCACTCGCGTGGGGATGTGGATAAAGGACTGGGACGCACGCCTCACATGTGAATCCCTATACCTTTACCTGCTCAGAAAAACTCAAAGTTTTAAAACATGCATGTTCACACATCAAGAATTACAGCCAGGCACTGGTGGTTCACACGTCTGTAATCCTAGCTACTCAGGAGGCTGAGATCTGAGGATTGCAGCTCAAAGCCAGCCCAGGCAGACAAATCTAAGAGATTCCTGTCTCCAACCAACCAGCAAAAAACCATAAGTGGAGGTGTGGTTCAAGTGATCGAGTGCCAGCAAAAAAGCCAGTGCAAGGCGCTGAGTTCGAGCCCCAGTATTGACACAAACACACACACACAAATTCTAGAACTGCATGTATGTGTTGGCACAGATCACATGGGGAGGGGGTTCCTGAAAAACTTGCAGTGGTTACCTCTTTAGAGGTATACATAAAAAACCTAGAGCTCGGAAGTGGCGCTGTAGCTCAAGTGGTAGAGCGCTCGCCTTGAGCTGAAGAGCTGAGGGACAGCGCCCAGGCCCAGAGTTCAAGCCCCACGACC